GAAAATAAGCTACTGTAGTGCAGAAGTATGAGCAACAAAGGCATTTTTATAGTTAGTATATTGTATTACATTTCAAGAGATAGCCAAAGTCGTGCCTCATGGATTACTGCTGCTGCTGCTGCTATATGCCATGTAAATTGACTGGATGAACTGTCCTGGATGGGTACAACAAAAATACACCTCCTTGCACACTGTCACTTCTCCATAATTATTTTTCTTCTTATTTGAATTAAAAAAGGGAAGTCCTGATGCACACCATATTTGAGCTCTTATAATTCTAATAAGTAAATAAACCAATAAATAAAGTTGAACATATCCTCCTATCCATATTCAATCCCTATGTCTGCAATATTTAGTGTGTCATAAGACTGACACTCAAAAATAACTAGACACAATGTTAAGGTTGAAAAAAGAGCTGATTTACCCTTGTCAAAAAAAAACCAGTGCTTTCCACGTTTATGATACTCAACGTACATTTGTTGGAAAAAAGTCAACATTTTAAAAGTCATTTCCCTTACTGAAAAGAAACATCAGAAAAATAACACAATGACAGTATTTCGCTCTTTCGAGTTGTTGCATTTCCTCTACTCAATAAGAATCACTGCAGCTGACAACTAAGGGGCAAAGAACTGCTGTTGTACACAGTACACAAGGTGGTTTAGTCCCATGCTCTGTAGTCTGGCAGGTGTATACACTGCCAAAATGCTCCCCATAGTCTGAACTAAGGAGTGTTTTTCCAATGTGTTCATATCTACTATAATTTCCTTAAAACTGGATTAGACAATTAATACTCTTTTGCCTATCCCACAATATGTATCTCTAGCCATTATGACTTGGGGTGGGGGAGGCAGTTAGTGCCAGACTTGCTTCATAGTAATTACATGGACAAGTACATGTACATGCAGTTTTCTAGGCAACATTTCCAGAAGTTTGCCATTCTCTTCTTCCTTGGGTTGACTGGCTCCAAGTTCTTCACCCAACTTCCATACCTAAGGCAGGACTATAACACAGGTTCCCTGATTCTTTGTCCAGAATCTTAACCACTAGAGTTAATGAGAATTTAAAAACAATTAAAGGTCATTGGGCTGCCTCTCCTGGTCTAAAGCTCCAGTAAAGATGATGCGTCTGATGGCCTCTCCTAGCAAGTTCTTTTCATTTTCCCTTCCTGTTCACCCCTGAAAATGAAGTAATTTCAGCCATGAAATATAGGTAAAGATGAGATGAAAAGAAGAGATGAGGTAACTGCCACTATCAGGTGCAATAAAACAGGAACCAGGATTGTTCAAATGAGTACAAGTTTATTCCATGCTGCCTCTAAACAAAAATCTGAGCTAATAACAGTCAAGGTAAATTGGTGGTAGATAAGAATCAACAGAATTCAAGAAAGGATGGGATTAGATATCTTGTGGGCACAAAGGGACTCCAAATTGATGATGCATCTTATCCCCTCCTTCAGGCTTAGCCTGGTCATCTCCTACACCCACGCTATTTTTCCAGCTAGGGATGACCCTCAAAAGTAGATAAGTAGTAAACAATTGTCAGAGACCAAAAACATCCTTCAAAACTTTTTGACAATTAGATAATTCAAAAAGATAAAGCAAGTGTGTTTGTAAAGCAGATAAACTAAGGAGACAAAGCAGTGCAATGGAAAACAGAAAACAAAGAGTAGGGTATGCCTGTATTTTTTAATCCCTAAGTCTAGATGAGTTCTTCTTTCTCTGGATTTATTCTTTTATTTAGACTATATTTAGATTTCATCTCTCACATTCTAGATCTGGACCGAAGGATAATGTGGGGGAGGAGGATATTAATCCCTCCAAAAAAGGCAAATCTTTTTGCCTTCTGTGAACTAGCACTCTGCTGGGTTTAAAGTAGAGGTCTGTGGTTCAAACCATGATTGCAACATGTCTTTAGGTTTCCATAATTCAGTTTCACCAATTTCTGAAATGGCTATTTTGTGAATTATCATGTCAAAGGCAGCCATTTTGAGACAACACCCATAACAGTTTCAAAAATTCAAATATAAACTATGTTATAAAAGGAATAAAAAATGAACAATAAAGTTACATTAGAAAGATTAATGTATGCTACATATTTTTCCAATTTCCTGAAAACAATTAAGCCAAGAGGACTAACTAAGTGAGCCAACTGCCACAGAGACGCACTATAGTACTAATTTGATTAACACTCCCAAACACCATTTGGAAAAAATATATAATTCTTAATAATCTTATATAACCTTAAAGAGTACACAATGAGTTCCAAGATAATGTGTTGAATTAAAATCCCAAGTTTTTTTCTCATACTTTTTAGAGACTTTCAACAGAATCTACTGTTTTTAACATCTCTTCTTTTGAGAAGTTCTCTTGATTTTAATCCTGTAACATTCAAATAATTTCCATCACAATTTTGATTATGTTCTAGACTGTTAAGAATTCATGATCTTAAGAATAAATTATTACATTTATCTGATCGGAAATCAAGCTGGAACTTGACATGGTTTTATACAATATATCCTTGATGGCCAGCCTAGTAAATAATGAGGATATTATGAATTGCTTTAAACCTGCATCATCTATGCAGCAATCCGCATGTAGTTATATATATTCTTGATCCACAGCACTTCTTTCTTCTTGTAAAATATGTTCCTTTAGGGGCAATAGATGCAGAGGGATTTGAGAACTTTACTCAGAAGACACACCATTGGTTCTGCAGGGAATACACTTCTTTAAGGTGGTCCCAGTATTCCTAAATAAGCGACTTCTGAGCACTTCCCAGTAGAATTGTAGATCCTTGTATTTTTGAGTAAGTAATATTTGCACAATAGTGTTGTAACCTTTGTACATGTCTATCACCAATCATGCATAAATGAAAAAATATATTTGATCTAGAAAATTAGTTTCTTTCTTCATTTGCCACCTCAAAATCTTTTTTCAAATGACCTAATTTAACCCATCCCATCCTCAAAATCACTTTCTCAGCAAGAATTATTTCTCTTCAATTCTTCTAGAGAGATAGGCAAGCATTAAAAATTACACAAAGCTATATACCCATAACTGCAAGGCAGAGTACAAATCCTAAGGCCAAATTCACAAGAGTTTTCTTGTTTTGAAGCAAAGGACACATCCTTGGCAATAGGGACCCTGACAGAGGGGTTCTAGAATATGAATTCTAGATACTAGATGGGTGACCAAATCCTGGTGAAAATGGATTTCCCAGCATTTCAAAGAAAGCGTTGGCTATGTTGAATACCAAAGTAGGTGTGGCAACTGCACAGATTATCAAAGAAGCAGAAGTACTGCAGTCAGGTGCAGCAGCACAAAAGAAAACAACATCATAGAATTTAGCTAATGGATGTGGATCACACCTTGAAGACCTAAGGGGAAAGAAAATGCATCAGTTTCCCAGGCTGGTTCTTTGTATAACACTCGGCACATTTGTATCTTGTTTCTGATTGCTCAAACTGAAAAACAGCAGATGAGACTGATTTAAATAGCAAAAAGATTGATCCATAGTGGGTGCATTATGGTAATAAATCAATTATGTTTAAAACATAATCGAAGAACTATGAGTGAAGATGTTATGCTTTCTTGAAATAACTAGGGACTGGGATCCTCGATATGATTGCATGTTAAAATAAACAAACAAAACCACCCCAACCCCAACGCAATAGATTCTAGGAGAATCCTATTTTATGGGACAAACAAGCTAAAATGTCATATTTTATTAAGTAATTCAGTTATATAAGATCACAGGGGAAAAACATGCTTCACTCACTACAAAATAAATCTGCAACTTGTGTAACGATGCTTTTAAACTAAAAAAAACAAGGCACTCGATTAACAGAAAATTGGTGACTTTTAACCAAAAACATTTTTTCCAGGAAAATTATATGTAGATGTTAAGCTTTCAGTCAAGTGTATGTTGTGTGTGTGTGTGTTTCATTGTGCTTCCTTTGTTTGCTACAAAGATGGAGTAGCCATCTATTCCCCCAATGCATATCCCATCCCACAAAAGATTTCATTAAGATGCATTAGAGACAAAGTACAGCTGCACTCCTTGTATCAGAAGCCAGTAACAAAAAAGCCCAGGCCTATTAAAAACCAAGGGGGTACCCCCAGTGCAAGGCGTTTCATTGCATCAACAATAAGTCAGGGTGGAGTATGAATCTACTGGAAAGGCATCTGCAGAGCACACGCCAAGAAAGATGCAAAATGCTGCAATATTTCAGTCTCTCTTCCTTGCTTTACAGCGAATATATTTTTCTTTAGATTAGCAAACATTATATTATAAATGAACATTCCTTATATTAGTTCATAAATCTGACTCTCTTTTTTATAAAAGAACCAATTCCTTTTTTCCCTCTTTGGTAGTCAAAGCACATGACGCACCCAAATTTGCAAGAAATAAAAACATGCCGCAGACAGCTTGCAGATAACAGCATCTTCTTTAAAAAATGAAAACAAAACGAAAAATAAATAAAATGACATAAAGTGAGGAAGGATCAAACGTTTGGCTTAACCTTCAGCTCGACTCCTCCCCAAAAAATAGGATCTCAAACTGAATATCTACTTCCCCTATGTAAGTTTGTAAATAGAATGTTTTCACTATGCTTGTAGACACTTTGGACAACAGGAAGTAGGGGGGGGGGGCTTTAGCTGATCAGAACAGTTTAAGTCTGTATTGCAAATAAACAACAGTGCTTTTCATAAGCACCCTACATTTTAATAAATATGTCAGAACTCAAAATGAAATCCTTACAATCATCTCACTTGCGCAGATTAACAGAAACCCCCCATTTGTTTACTTGGGGGCCATTCCTGCAAACACTCCCTTCCTTTTCTGTATGCTAACCGGCTACCTCCTTATTCCTACTAAAACACATTCTAGCACCTATGAAGCAACGCGGCTGGCCATATTGCTGACACGAACGGTAGCAAATACAAAAAGAATGCACAACGAAAGCAAGAAGAGAGGACAGGAGAGGTTAAGTCACTTACAGTTATCCTGGGGATATTCTTCTTGCCCTGGTAACCAGACATGATGTGTGGCTGTTGTTGTAGCAGCAGCAGTGCCGGCTCCTACTTTCCAATTCAGAAGCAGCACTAGCTTGCAAAAAAGCTCGAGCTCAGGTAGAACAAATGCTGTTCCTCACTTTTCTCTTTTTCCTCCCTGTTCCGCCCCCTCCCTCTTGATTCACACAATAGTAAAATTCTCTTTCTCTCTACCTCCCTCCTCCTTTCCCAGTGACAGCTGGGTCCCTGTAAGACAAGAATGGCTGATGAAGCGACTCCTCCCTTCTTCTTTCCAGTCTCGATTTCTCTGTGCATTGATTTCTCTCTGCTTCCCTCTTTTGCCTCACCCACTCTTTTATTGCTGTCACTGCAATAAGGCGTGACGGCCACTAGAGGGTAGCAACGCAAAGACTCCAAACATCCTATACCAAAGGAAATATACCACAAGGATCTGTAAACCCTTTTGCAGGACTAAATGTCTATAGAGATTCTCAGTCATTCAGGTCATGGTTCTTCCAAAGGTGCTTTTTCAAGAAGGAACTGGACTTTCTGGTTTTTCTTTGAAGATGTTCCACTTCTCATCCAAGAAGCTTCTTCAGCGTTTGCAGGACGTTGCTGGTTTCCAGGACAAACGCAAAGAACAGCTAGGTACACACATCCAACAATATATGCAACTAGAAAATGGACCCAGGATTAGGGATTACTCATCATAATCTCACAGTGGGAAGTCATTCAATAAATCCCAACTCTATGTAACTGAATTCTAAAGCAGAATGAGTTCTGCTGGATCAGCCCATAAGCCTATCTCGTTTGTCTTTGGTATAAAAACTCATTATTTAAAAGAAATGCATATAATTTGAAGAAAACTACTGAGCTAGCACTTAAAAGGCTAAAGTGAGAACTCTGTAAATATGTTTAGCCAATTCTGAAATATATCAATGATATATTATCATTTTTTTCTATTTTGCATTAGTCTTGCTAAAAGTATTACTGCTAATAGTGCACTGCTATTTTTTCTAAGTAGTTTTTCATATCTTGAGAGTTTACAATTTTAATATATTTCGGAAAGAGGTAAATTTCAAGGAATTCATCCACATAGTTTTAAAAATCATTTGCAATTTAGGTAAATAATGACACTAGGGGACAATATGAACACATCTCAAGATTATGTTTTTTATGCTGTAAATCACCCGGAATAGCTTAGAAATGAGATGAGACACAAATAAATTTAATAATAAAAAATAATAAAAAATTACAGCTGCAATTAAATACAAAGATGCATACTTCAATACATACTTTATGAAGGCTTTATAGAATAGAATAGAGTATTTTATTGGCCAAGTGTGATTGGACACACAATAAATTTGTCTTGGTGCAAATGCACTCAGTATACATAAAAGAAAAGATACATTCGTCAAGAGTCAAGAATCATAAGGTACAACACTTAATGATAGTCATAGGATACAATCAGCAATCAAATCATACTAGGAAACAGTCAATATAGATCGTAAGTATACAAGCGACGAAGTTACAGTCCTACAATCACAAGTGGGAGGGGATTGGTGATAAGGAGTGATGAGAAGATTAACAGTAATAGTAGTGCAGACTTTGTAATAGTTGAACAGTGTTGAGGGAATTATTTGTTTAGCAGAGTGATGGCTTTCGGGGGAAAACTGTTCTTGTGTCTAGTTGTTCTGGTGTGCAGTGCTCTATAGCATCATTTTGAGGGAAGGAGTTGAAACAGTTTATGTCCGGGATGTGAGGGGTCTGTAAATATTTTCACAGCCCTCTTTTTGACTCGTGCAGTATACAGGTCCTCGATTGAAGGCAGATGGGTAGTAATTGTTTTTTCTGCAGTCCTAATTACCCTCTGAAGTCTGTGTCTGTCCTGTTGGGTTGCAGAACCAAACCAGACAGTTATAGAGGTGCAGATGATAGACTCAATAATTCCTCTGTGGAACTGTATCAGCAGCTCCTTTATTTGAAAATCCGTAACTTTAGATTTTTTGTCACAGATTCCACTTAAATCTTTCTATAAGAATATTATTTTCAATTCATATAAAAGATAAATTCTGTGGCAGTATAACATAAACATAAAATACATGAAAAAAGCAAATTACTTTAATTGAATTCTAAAATTACTATATAAATATCCAGTCTATTAACCACTACTCATAATCTTGGGCCTAATGTAGCAAAATATTCATGATTGTAGGGCAAAAAAGTACTACAAAGTTAAGACAAATATGGCTCCTTGTGAATTCTTCAAACAGATATGGAAATAGTTAATTGCTTTTACTTTTGTGAAAAGAAAGAAAATAAAATTTGGTCTGTCACTGCAGAAGCTAGCAAAGCTACTTAATCTGTGAATTTGATTTGTGTAAGATAAAGCCCATTCTAATTGCTGAGCAATTAAGATAAATATGAAATTAAGTCTTTTCAGTCAACAACTTTTACACCTGATCAATTTGTATCACCCTGCAAAATCAAGAAGAAAACAAAACTCAATCCAAACATGAACTTTTTTAATGGATGTGTACATATTCCAATTATTCTTCATTCCTCTTCTATACCACTTCTAATTTTACTTTCTCCACTACTTTTACATCCCTTCCCCCGAATCTATACGATGAAATTGCTCATTCCATTATAAAAAAGCTACGGTAATCCTGATCTGAAGATTAAAAGTGAACCAAAGGCACCTGTCAACATTCTCAAGATAACAGTTTATTCCTAGAGACTATACATTAAGAATGGAAAAAGTTTGCCAAACATAACAAAATCACAAGAGACTACTACCATATAGCTGAAATGCATACTGAGGAATCTTAATATTGGATAAAGCTTCCTTAATTAGAAGAATTAATAAAGAAGAGCTATGGTGGCACAGACTGTAGTATTGCAGGCTAATTCTGTCAGCAGTTTGATTGTGACTAGCTCAAGGTTGACTCATCCTTCCAAGGTTGGTAAAAGGAGGATCCAGATTGTTTGGGGCAATATGCTGACTCTGTAAACCTCTTAGAGAGGGCTGTAAAGCACTGTGAAGTGGTATATAAGTCTAAGTGCTACTGCTATTAATTCAGGCAGTGTTGATTAAATAAAACCTGACTTATGTACACTTTATGCAAATGTTTCCATAAGTTATATCTTCCAATATGTACAATTTTGCAATATTTATGTAGCAGAAATTAGATGAATATTTAGAAAGCTCGGTGCTTGGTTCAATATGAACTTATACAGAGCAGTTATAGCAGTTGGAGAATGATTGAATTTGAATTCATGATAAAAGGTAAAAACTATTAACTCGTTTTATTATTTAATGAGGGTTCATTATTGGTAAAATATTGACTGAAGCAGCTTCTATTTGAACAATGCAAAATTGCATTGGTTAATTTTGCTGTGAACCAGATCTAGCCTATTAATCTCTCAGAGTGTTGAAATTCTATCTATTTCTAATCATACAGAGTAAAACTGACAAAAATTGATAAATTAACAATAAAATTAAAATTAACACTGTCTATGGAGATCCTCAGTCATTCAGGTCATGGTTGTTCCAAAGGTGCTTTTTCAAGAGGCAACTGGACTCTGGTTTTTCTTTGAAGATTTTTTGCTTCTGTTTAAAGGCTGTCAAAATGCCTTTCTTCTGAGGATCCGATTTTCCCGCTGGGAGAGCTCCGGTGCAAGGATACAGACAACTGCTTGAAAGCTGGATCTTTTTATTTTTCAGGAAGGCGAGAGATAGCAAGAAGTCTGCGTTCCTGGGCTAGCTACCTTTGTATGGTAAGTCCCTGATTTTTATACCTTTTTCTCATTTTGTGTTTGTGTTTGTATTTCTTAATGTTTTAAATCCTGTCAGGGGTTGTCTTCATTTCCGCCAGAGGGTAAACTCCGCGGGGTGCAGAAAGCAAACTTTGCGGGGTGGTTTGATTGGATTATCGGTTTCGTCCTAATCTTTTTTTTTTTTTTTTTTGCTTAATGGTTTCTTATATTTGTTTTGTGGCAATCTCCTGTCTGTCTCCTTTGCAATATATTTTATGTCTTTTGTCTGTTTGTTTTGCTGATTTGGCATGTCTTGTGTTTGTAAGGGTTTTCTTTTCTTGTTTTCTTAATTATTTGGGCTTTTGTCTAAGGGGCTTCTTTAATACCTTTTATTTGATTTCTTTTCCTATGCAAGTTTGTTTTATGGCTGGCTTGATGTTCCCTTTGGGCTTTTCCTGCTTGGGTGACACCACTGTCCTCGTGAAGTTTCCTTTCCACACTTCTCATCCAAGAAGCTTCTTCAGCTCTGACTGGGGAATGGAAGGATTTATATTATTTGCAGACAGCCGGTCATTTAATTCTTTTAGCAAGTCGTTAAGGCAACCTGGAGGTTTATCTGTGTCATCAGGGTCACCACTTTTTTCTCACCTCTCATCTTTCCTATTACCTTCTCCTTTTGGTATATTATGATTTATCAAGTGTTGTGTATATCTTATGATTTATGATCTATGGCTTATCACAGTTGTGGTATGTACACTGAGAGCTTATGCACCGACACAAATTTTCTGTGTGTCCAATTACACGGCAAATAAAGAATTCTATTCATTAAAAAAAATTATGTTTTCTTTTCTTTTCTCTTTTCTTTTTGAAAGCAACATTTGCAACCTTTTCTCTGAACTGATAAAGAACAGACTATTGCAAAGAGAGTCTTTTTCACAATAGGGGAAGTGGGAGAGGAGGAAGAAGCTAGGTGTGTGGGCACTGGGAAAACATTCAGTCAGAGGATCATTACTCAAAGCAATGGTCCCAGTCAACTGAAGGTGAAATGTGGAGTGGGGGTGAGATTTCTTCATTTTACAAAAGAAATAAAACAAGTAGCATTTGAAGTGGATGTCATCCTTCCAATTTACCAGATTATAGTTCAAGTTGTACGTTTTCCAAACATGCTCTTTTCATCAGCAATGAAAGGAGACATCCTTTTCCACATAAAAGTTTAAGTATTAAGAGATTTTAAGGCAGTTTATGATTATAACAGAAGCCTGAGGTAACAACTGTTTACTCATTTATCTCTTTTTCCAAAGCTGTCCCAAGGCCTGTTATTACTGGATATCCCATTTGCAAGGTCAATCATGAGGCCAATTATGGGGCTGTAAAGGGAAGGCCAAATATTTTTAACAGATTTCCTTTATATACAGGCCTTTTTTT